GACTAAATATGAATAATAATATAAACTAAAAATAAAATTAATAATAAATAAGATTAATTAATATAAATTTCTTGTTTGTTTAATTTAGTAATAATTAGTGATTATTATATTATATACTATAACTATACTATATATTACATTATATCTATTATATCATAAAAATAGGTAATTAGTTATAATATATAAAATATATATATAATATAATAATTAAATAATAATTAGAATATGATAATTTTTTATTCTAGCTTAAAAGAAAAAGAAAATAAAGCTTAAAAAAATTATGAGTAATTATATAAAAATAAATCAAAAAAATTTAGTTTATAAATTTATAGTATATATTAAATAATTTAAGAAATAATAACTAATTAAATATAATATATTAAATAATTAAATAATATATATAATAAAAAATGATATTTTAAAATTTCTTAATAAATAAAAAATAAATTTAAATATTATTTAAGAATATCAAATACTTTTTATTATATATTAATTCAGATATAGTATTTATCAAAAATATTTCTTCTCATTTTAGATCAATAAAAAGATAAGATAAATAAAAAATAAATTTTTTATTTAAAAGTTCTGATTTTATATAACAAGATTAATATATAATATAATTACTCTTGATTTTAATTAAAGCTTTTATATGCTTTCTTATACTTGAAATTAATTAGATCATATATTCTTTAGATAAATAATATTATTTTTTTTATAATTTTCTTTTCAAAATCTTAACAGTTCTAATTTTTTTTGCCAGATTATTTTTCATGAGCCTTTAAATATTTTTAATTAATTTTGATCAGAAGATATTAATAATTATAAAAGAATTTTTATATTTATTTTCTTCTTTCATATTTTTATGATTTTTAAATAATACTTGAAATTATTATCTTTTTAATAAATCTACTAATTATTTTTCTGATCAAAAAGTTTATTAGCAAATGACAGAAGACTTATTTTATATATATTTAGCAGATAATTAGCATTAGGATTTCTTACAAAGTAAATTAACTTGCCAAAGTTTATAAATAAAAAATATCTTTATATATGAATTTTTAGAGAATATTTCATAAAATAGCTTATCTTTTTTCTTTCAGAAAATTATCAAGTCTATTTTATATTTTGATTTAGATAAAAAATATTTTTATTTGAAAAAATCATCTTATTTTAGTCAAAGTTTTCATTTATTCCAATTATTTTTGCTAATATTTTTCTGTAAAAAGAGATTTTAAAAGCTTATTTATATATTTATCTTTCTCTTCATAAAGATAATATTATATAGTATATATATTAATATTAATATTCTGCTTAATTATCTTTTTCAAATTTCTGAAACTATTATATCAATTTTTTTTGTAAGCTTTACTATCTGCTTGTCTTATTATTAAATAATCACTCTTTATTAATCTATTTTTGATTTATTATTTAAGTCTTGATTTTCTTCTTATCTTTAAATCTAATAATGAATTATTTTTTTATTATAATAAACTATTTTAGTTATCTTATATATTGATAGCTTGAAATCTTTTAGATAGATAAAAAGATGATTTTATATTATTAATTTAAATTTAAAAATCTTTTTTAAATATAATGAAGCTTTTATTTTTTATTAATGTATAATTTTCTAAAATACAAATGCAATCTATATTTAAACTATACTATATATATGCAAAATTAGTATCATATATATGACTATTTGAAAATTCCAGAAAAAGGAATATTTTTAACAGATACTATATATATAACTTAATTTTTTTGAATAATTTATAAAATAAAGTAATTATTTTAATAAAATTCTTTATAAACTAATAATAACATAAAATTAGATTAATAAAATTATTAAAAATTATTAAGTTAATAATTCTTTTTTTGATAAAATTCTTTATAAAATAATAATAATATAAAATCAATTTAATAAAATTTTTAAAAGTTAAGTTAAAATTCTTTTTTTTAAATTTCAAAATAAAAACTAATTCTTAATAAACTTATACTTTTTTAATTACAACTAAAAATTTACTTGTTGAATTAGATTTTATTATATTATAAATATTTTTCAAATATATTATAATATTATCTAAATAAATTATAATAAATTAAATCTATAATTATACTTCTTGAAGAAATCCAATAGTTCATCAAGGTATAAAAGTTTGATTTCATATAATATTTGTTAATATCTGAATTCGACCTAATATTATATTCATATAATTAAATCTTTAAAATTAAATGAGCTAACAACTATTAAAAAATGACTTTACCATTAAGCTTAAAACTGGGAAAAAGAATTTATATAAAAGTGCTCCAAGATAGAGTTTCTTTTTGTCTTTTTCATTTTCTTGCGCCGGATTTGTTAATCAAATATTCGCACATTTTTACTGGACTGTGAGCAGGAACCGAGCACAGGTTATAATTCGAATTATTATAAATAATTTAGCGTTAGATCATTATTAATTATATTACAGAAATTCGTCCAAGTTAATAGAAAAAATACTCCAAAATTTACAATATAATAAAGTTATATAAGTACAGCTTTTATCATTACATTATTACTTTTTTTCATCATTAGATACAATTTCGTCCCTTCGTAATGGTGAATTCTTTACGAAGAGCATAGCGAATACAGAGATTCCGGCCAGAACTGTTTGCACATCAAAAACTTGCTGTAATGCTAATACATAAGCGTGAATAACTTGAGCCTCTTTATCGCGTGGAAGATTAAGCACATAAGATATAGAATTTTTTGCTCTAAATTAAACAATAAACGCAAAAAATAAATAAATGATATGATATATTATTTATTCACAATAGAATAATTATACTTACAAGAAAATGTCATCGGGAGATGAGAAAATATTCTTCAAGGATTTCTCTAAATTGTTAAATAATACATTCGAAGCAACCGAAACTCCGATTACTCCACCCAGCAGTTGAAAGAAATTCACTAACGCGGTCGCTGACGCCAAATCTCTAGCATCTGTAGCAGATTGAACTGCAACCACGCCAAGTGACCATATGATTCCCAATCCGAGTCCGAAAATTAAAAGATAAGCAATTTCTTTACCGGTTGAATCATTTTCCGCAAAAGTGCTGACTAACCCAATAGCTGCTGCACTCAACGCCGAACCTATAACCAGTAATTCTCGAACTCGGCCGAATTTTGGCGCTAAAATAGCAGCAATAGTTGATGATATCACTAAGCCAACCGGGATTGGAATCAGTCGTAATCCACTTGTTGTTGCGCTACTATGTTTTGCCAATTGCCAAAATAACGGTAGGAAAAACAATAAAGAGAAAAATGGCATACAAAAAAATGCTGATCCAACGTATACTGCTAATGCTGTTCGAATTTTGAATAAATGTGGTGGAATAGTTGGTTCAATAGCAAATTTCGTTTCATAAACTACCAACATGACTAACAAAATTCCAGCAACGATGAAGAGACATATAATCCTTGCATCTGACCAATCATATTTCGTACCACCCCATGTTACTGCTAATAATGCTGCTATTACTGTGCCAACAAGCAAGACCGTTCCGATATAGTCAACGCGCTTCAATTTATCACACAAAGATCCTTGAACTCCAGGTAATTTAAGCGTGGTAAATAATAATAACAATAAGCTTGGTGCACCGACCGGTAAACTATTATATGATAAAATTTTATTATTTAATCATAATTTCATTTTATTTGAGTATGTATCGCGTTATAAAACTTACTTGATATAGAATCCCCATCGCCAAGAAATATGATCAGCAAAAGCACCACCAATCAACGGACCTAATACACTCATAATCGAATAGATAGCTCCTACAAGACTAAGGAAAAGATAAATCTATTGTTTGGTTTTTTAAAAAAAATACTAGGTTTAAACTTACCCTTGATACATAGCACGCTCATCCAATGTGCTAATATCCGCAAATATAATCATGATACAACTAAATGAAATGCCAGCTCCAATGCCTTGTATCACTCTCACTATGATCAGCATGTCCATACTTTGTGATGCGCCGGATAATGCACTTCCGGCCAAAAATAATATTACACCCGTAAGGATTACAGCACGTCGACCGAAAATGTCTGTGAATTTACCAGCCAACGGTATCACTGCGTTAAATGCAAGGATATATGAAGTGATGATCCAAGTCACGTTGGATAAATTATCAAACTCTGTTCCAATTTTTGTCATTATTGTTGTTGTAATTGTATTATCTAAATAAAGGAATAATGAATTTCTAGATTACACATACAACCTCATAATCATGTGACCGGAATCGACGATTTACCTAAACAACAAAGAAGTATAATGAGGGACAATCTAATAGATACAAATAAGGTTAGGTTAGGGTCAGGGTCAGTTTTTTAAAAAATTGTAGTATGATTATACTTACCCGCATATTAGTAGAATTTTGAGGGGCTTTGGGATATTTATTGGCTCAAAATCAACTCCCGCCTGCTCTCCGTCTTTTTTTCCACTACTTTCGCTCTTAGTACTGATCCCTAATTCAACATTTTCGATCTCGATTTTCTCTTTATTTTTATTTTTTTCGGAGGAATTGACCACAATGGTTGTGGTGAGTGTACTGTCTTTCTTATCTTCGGGCATGAAAGCTTTTGCTGGTAAATTTGGAGAATCGATTTTGGTTGTATCAACTTCGTTAATAACATGTGTTTGATTTGGATGTAAATTCGACGGTATGTAAACCCCATCACTCGCAGTTGTTCGAGGATCTGAATTCATTTTTCATTTATTGAAATAAATTGTTTTTATGCTTTCAATAGCACAAATCACTAACTAAAAAAGATTGGGTTTCTTTTATCATTTTTTTTCCCGTCCCATTCATACCGATACTCGTTTTACATGAGGGAAATTAAATAACGCGACAGGTCCAAATGCCAGAGATAATCAGTTTTCCAGAACCTATATCTGGAATGTTAGTTACCGATCCAAAGACTTGTTATATTCCATTGTTTTTTTTGTTTATGTAAATAGTAATAAGGCCTTTTGTTGAATTAATTTGTCCGCAGAATAAAAAAAATATGCAGGGGAACGTGAATTTCAACAAAAACGTCATTTGAATGTGAAATTTCGGACAATAAAGGTCATTATGAACGTGAATGTCGTCAGAACATTCCCCGGAAAAAAAACAAATCTGACACCGGCAAATGAAAGGTGATCTAACGTGTGAGAAATTTTACATATACAAATTACCTTAGCTCTTTCCTTTCAAATCAGCTTTTACGTTAATAATTAGACATAATGAGAAAAATATTTTATTTTCCAATGATTTTTTGTCTAAAAATATTATTTAGAGTTTTAAAAAGATCGGACCAAATAAAAAAGCCTAGATCCAAATGTATATCAATAAAACTAACTCTCATCGCAATATTGTGGACGCTTTAAATCCTGTTGACATGTCCCGTGTACAATACTGTCCTATGGTACGCGATATTATTGACTGGGTAAGTAAAAACATAGCTTGAAATTTCCCATTTTTTATATAATTTTGGTGATATTTTTTGGGATACTTAACATGGTGCAAGAATTAGGTTACGACAAGAGAAAAATTAAATGTGAGAGAAATCAAGAAAAGCTGCGTACCTACTACGTACGCATTGAATTAAGAATGCAGAAAATGTTCAATGTCCTGCTAAAATTAGTATCTCTTTATCCAAAAGAAGAATGTTCAATGTCTTATCCAAAAGAGGAAAGGAAAAGGGATGTTATATAAATGATTAGAATGGGTAGGAGTTGGTGGGGTTTCTATGGCACATGCTCACTAACACACGCGCTTGGTTAACCACGTTTATAAAACCTCTAATTATTCTACACTTCTTGTGTTTAATCATATGGTTCCCAACGAACTGCATTTAGAGAGAGTGAGTTGACTGTAGCTTATTTCGAAGGTAAAAGAGAAGCATGCACTTATGTAATATATGATGTCAAGAACATGATTCAAATTTATTCAACTCATTCAACTCATTTATGTCCTTATATATTCTAGACAAGTGTAGCAATTAAGAATCGACACTCTGTTTATGCACTCAAATATATAGTTTACTATAAAAATCGTAGCGAAACCGGTTTTACTAATTCATCCCCCTTCCCCAAAAGTTTTGATTTGTTCAGAATACTAAAGACCGATTTTAATACTAGGATTAGAGTTAGGTTAGATTTAAGCGATATTTTAATTAATGCTTCAAGCTAAAATTTAATCGTCTTTTGTCGGATTTTTTTTGTGCTTTCCTATTTGTTAAACTAGGTGCAGCCAGCCAATCAGCGATGAGATTTTACCTGTGTCCAATCAGAAATAAAAAAATTTCGAAAGATCTCAAACTCTAACCATAATCTTTAAATTCTTAACTTTTATAAAAATTAATATTATATATTTTGATTTTGTCCAATCAGTGATAAGATTTTCCAAATTTCGAGAGAAATTTCAACTTCACTTCTAAAATAAAGTTTTTGGCCAAACTTATAAAGATGATAATGAAAAATCTTGGATTTAATTCAAAATTATTCAAATATTCAAAACATTCATCATGAAAATCTGCAAATTTAAAAGATAGTACTAGAAAATGTAATTTTATTAAGTAATAACTTTCTTCTTTCAAGAAATAAATATTAATTATTCTTAAATATGAATCATTGCAAAAATACTGATACATCAATATAAAAATTAATAATTACTTCTAATCAAAATCATTCAAATCTTTATAATTTTTTTATATTAAATAAAAAATGATCTAAATTTACTTTTTATACTATTATAATTATTCTATTATATTTTAATTTAATAATAAATAAAGCATTACTTTACTAACTAAAATAAAATTTAAAATAAATAAAATATTACTTTACTAAAAAAACTAAAATAAAATTAAAAAAAGATATTTTAAATATTATCATTATCAATTTGCAATATTAAAATACAAGCAGATTGCTCTAGATTTGATAAATATATATTCTAAATTTTATAAAAATTAAATCAGTAATTATAAAAATATTAAGATTCAAAGTTTAGTAATTAAATTATTTACTATATAATTTTTATATTAATTTTAATCAAATTTTATATAGTAAAATTTAAGAAATAAAGTTTATTATTAGTAAAATTTTTTTTATAAAAGATATATAATAAAATTTTTATATTTAAATAAATCCTAATATCTAATAACTTAAAATAAATGAGATAGAATTAAAATTTTATTTTGAAAAAATAATCTTTTAATATTTATTTAATGAATTAAACTTTTTGCAATGGATTGTATCTTTTATAAAGATTAAGAATAATAATATATAATTCAAAATAAACTAAAAAAAAATATAAGTTAATTTTTTATAATAATATTTTTTTATATTAAAAAACAAAATAATCAAGATAATTTATAAAAATTTATTATTTTATAATAATATTATAAATAATTTTCTATAATAGAAATTTATAATATTATTATAAAGAGATTAATATATAAAATTCATTTTTATTTTTTAAAATAGCTTATATTTCAAAAATCATTCCTTATATTCTATGACTTTTTGTGAAATTTTACTTATATAAAAATTTTTTGCTAAATAATTCTTCAATAATAAGTTAAATTGAAATTTTAACAAAAGAAAAAAAGCTATTTAAAATAAAATTTGATAAAAAAATATTTTTTATTAAGGAGTTTCATAAGTAAAATTTTGAAATACAAACTGTTTTTTAAAATTATCATTTTCAAATAAGTTAATTTTTATGCAAATTTTATATAAAAATAATAATATAATTTTGCATAATAAAATTAAACCAATCAAAAATAATATTTCAGGTGCTAAAAATTTGCCATTACTATTAAGATTGATATCAAAAAAAGCCTGACTGAAAAATAGGGTAGCTTCTTTTCGGGTAATTTTATAGAATGTATTTGTTTAATAGTTATATATTTGTGGCGAAAAAAATCCGTTTCATGTGATTTTTTAAGGGTAAACCAATCAAATCGCATGATCAAACAAATGTTAATTTTGAAAATAGCGAAATTTTGTCTATTTCTGTGTTCTAACAGAAAATGTCCTTTGCGAAATTAAACTCTCCTTCCTTATGGGATATATTTTTAATTTCATGCCTAACTAACTCTTATCATAATCGAAATGCTGTAGCTTGCGATTTGATTGGTTTTTGCGCTACTTGCACAAATAAGTAAAGGCAAGCATTATCCTAACACTGGCCAAATTATTATAATAACCATTACACTTTTATATAACAAACTTCACTCAGAATTTATTTATACAGTACTTGCGCAAATGCTAAAATATTGGACGTGACCAGTGGGGTTCTCTCCTAATTAACAAAATTTTTATCTTATAGACAGTTTATATAACAGAAACAGAGTTTAATTTATAAACTCAAAATCCATTGTTCTTTGATGAGTATTATTATTAATAACGGGGGTTGATGATTTTTTTACAGGATGAATTAATACTGCTTTGATAAAAATAAGGAGTATTTTGATGAGATAACTATAAACAATAGAGGTAATTATGCTATTATGAAAGGGCAATAAAAATATTTGTTCACCAATAAAAGATGTACCAACAACATCCGCTATTAATGGCCTCCGACGATAAAAGGATAGAAGTCATTATTAATGATAGGAAAAAGATGGTAGGTAGTTTTAATGATTGATGTTGAATGAATGGTTGGTAAGAATTAATAATATAAGGAAATGCACATAAAAAGATTTCGACAAAGGTTAATGATGTTCATGAAGGTTGAAAAATTGATTGATGACGAGAATGGTTGTTTGTTACGAATGTTCCTCTCTTGAGAGTAAATGTAAATATATCATTCATTTCATTCATTACACATACATACACACACATATATATATATATCTCGATATAAATATATACATGCATGCAATGCTTGAAGAAAACATTCATTACGACTTTAAAAAAAATGAAAACCAAAATTTTCATCACATTATACACACACACATACACACATATTACACACGCGCGAGAAATAAATGTGCAGCGCGTTAGACTATCTCCGAGTATGATGGCGGTGGAGATGATGTCGATGATATGGGCTCTGATTTTTGTTTAATATCAACAGCTTTTCCCATTGATGTCGGCGAAGATGTTGATGTTATTGATGAACGTCGGTTTCGTCGTTGTGGTTGACTGTTTCGATAGAGATAGAATTGAACAAAAATCTATTATTATAAAAAAAAAGGTTTTAGTTAAGTTTCGCAAAGGATGATTAATAGAACAGATCGAAAGAGGAAATGTACCATGAAATCAAAAAGTAAAGTTCCCCCACTACCAATTAGCCATGGAAGATGATTTAATATGAATTCGCGTTTTACCGAGTGAAATAATATTGACTGTAGAGTAATAATAAGATTGATGGGTTACACATTTTATTGGAAAAAGATTATTTGAGCCATTGAATATATTATTTATCAACTTACCAAGCAGTACGTAAGATTCCCTAAAACGCTAAAAAAGAACATTGTAAGTGATAAACCCTCGCAGGACCGGTTTTTACCGTTCATTACAATTTGAGGAATTCGGGAACCAACTGATTGTCAATGAAATTATAAATCAATAAAATTAGCAATGAAATTATAATGTTTAATTAATGAAATAAATCTAGACTTACGATAAAGAACTGCACTGCCCCACCCAAGACTCTGTCCCAGCAAAATCATACTCGGAGAAGGCGACGTTTCTTTTGATGGATTTAGCACAGCAAATCTGTTCATAATCGAATTATCTCCGATGATATTCTCTTCAACAGCCGAGTAATGATAATATGAGACTAAACCCGTGACCACAACACAGAGTAATGAGGCAAATAATTCGATTAGTATATTATTTTGATGATAGTAATTTTCGTCATCGATGCTGACGTTAGTGGCGTTGTAAGATGATTCATGTCCGATCATTGATGCAGGTCGATGATGATGCTGTGGAACTAGTGGCGTTTCTTCGGTTGCATAAACTAGTTCTTCATCTTCTTTTGAGGGTCGTCGTCCGAATCGGTAATAATACACTTGACATAGTAAGATGACGTCGGTAAGATTATAGTAAAAAGCAAGGACGATCTATTTTGTTATTTGGTTTAAGAGAGTAAATAGCTGGTAAAAATAATGCATGTATTTTGTGCATGCATGCATGCATGCATGCTTGTTGTGCCCGAATAGTAGTCATTCAAATTTCGGTGTAACTTGGATTCGTTTGTAGATCTTTTTTCGAAGGGATAACAAAAAATTTTTTGGAATGTAACAGTAACGATAATAATCGTGGGAATAAATCATTTGACATCTGTTTTGAAGCACAAAATGTATAATGACTTAACACACACGCATGCATGCGGTTAATTTGTTCATATGATGGAAATAATAATGTGATAATGATCTGTTTGCTATTATTGTTTTTTTTCTATTATTATCCGACTTCCTCAAGAATAGAAAAAGAAATCTTACCATTGTGAGCAATAAATTTTGTATGATGGCGCCAGCCAAGTTTAATGCGTCTGCTGCAAACCAAATTAAAAGAAATGTCGTTGAAAGCGATTCGCCGGATTTTAGTCTGTAATTTGTGTAGAGCTGTCTATTGCATTCGATTTTTTACGATGCATTTTGAAATTGTGATGTTTTTTATGTCAATATGTGATTTTTTTAAATTTGTCATAGGAGACATTGGTAAAGAAGAAGGAAGAGATTGTTCTATAAAAGTTGTATACATTAAAGTGAGGCGGAAGATGCAACAAATAACAATAGGACGAAAGAGAATAGGAAAAAACGAACAAGTTGAAATAGTGACCGACTGTCACTCATAAACAAAGTGGTTCACGAAAGTTAAAAAGTATATTTTCTATTCTACACTTACGGGACTAGAACCACAATCCAACAAGCAATAGAGATCGAGCCGGCTACATAAGAAGCCACATCATGTTGATATGAACTTGATAAAGAAGACGTTATGTTCATATCCATTGTTATTTATATTCGGGCTTGATATATTTATTTTTCTTTCTCTCTTTATTATTTTATCAAACTAGAATATGGGTGAACACTAATACTGAAAGAGAGAGTGTAATAATAAGAATAATAGTGAGAAGACAATGTTATAGACGTGTGTGTGTATTGTGCGCTCGTATGTGTGTATTTAGTTTGAGGGAAAAAAATTTTTAAAAACAACCGTAGCGTGCAAAATCAATCGAATGAATGAGGAATCGTCGAAAATCGGGGGTGCTATTTATGTATTTTATGGAGGCGAGATACAAATTTACTGTACATTATATAAATTTATTTATATTATATTTGGCTTATACACTTTCTCCTTTCCTCTTTCCCGTTATTACGTACCACTTGCACACACGAGATGTTTGTTGTTATTTTTTTTTTTTAGTGCGCGTATTACCAATATTTTATAGTTATTCTAATATATTATAGTAGCTGCAAGATATAAAAAACACTAATATAGTCTCAACACTAATATAGTCTAAATATGTATATTTGATTTGTGTGATAAAGTAATAATAAAATATTTATCAGTCAAATCTAATGCATAAAATTCATTTTTAATAAACAAACCTTTCATGATGCTGATTAACATCCACTCATCCTTACATCAAACGTTTTTTTTATCGTTATTACTTTATTGATCTCTTTCCGAGTAGCTCGAATCACAGTCTAATCAAAAATAAAATTAACTATCAATAATTGATTTATTACGAAAATCACATAGTAAAAATCATCATCATAATGATATTCTTTCATTTACGTGTTTCGAATCGCGCAATATAGTTAATTCTATTATGACTTTCATCCAACAGGTAATTACATCATTAATTCATTCGGAATTTATATTTTAACTCGGAATTTTTCGGAAATGATACCCATGTGGTACATATATGTATGTAGATAGTAGTCACTTAAAAATTCGGCTATTATATAATAAAATTAACATCCCTTAATTTTTGGTCGCGTGTCGATGATGCGCAAGGGGGAGTGATCGCAAAAGGCAAAGAAGAAGAAAAGAAGGGGCATTAAAGGAAAGTATATAAACAATAAGTATCATCGTAAGGAATTAAACACAATTTTTGTTTGGTTGTTTAGGAAGGAATGAGTAAAGCGCATGAAATAATGATATCACATGAGGGAGAAATAAACAGGTAAAAACGACAAATTTCAAAAAAAGACAGAAACTAGTAATAATGATAAAGGCTGTGGCGGATATCAAGACACCAATCGAAAGAGTAGCTTATCTTTTTATTCTAATCATGTTATAAGGTTGGTTTCTTGGTTTGTTCCTATCTTCGATATCTATGTTCCTGCTTTTTCCGAGACTATTTTTAAAAAAAAAAAGAAGAAATGCGGTTAAATCGTTAGTTACGCTTTCTCACTGTGGTTGTTTATTAATCGATGTGTGTTTTAAATAAAACAACGAAGAATATCAATCTAGGCAATAACCATTGTGGCATTCCTTATTCTTTAGACACAGCATTTGCTTTTATCCAATTTTCACTATTGAGAAATAAAAAAAATATAAGGTTGTCGTCGTCTTCTTTGTCTTTGGAAAAACAGAGTAATGTATATCCTTTTTTTTTTACTTTCTATGTCAGACACAGTAAACACGTGTCTTATTATGGTATGGCACAATGAATATGTCTTTATTTTGTCTTAATGTTTGCACTCATGACCTAACTAAAAGTCTAATAATGCAAAAAAATGAAAAAGCTTTTTTGTGGGCTAAAAAATTGCCGCATAGTTACTTAGCGGAAAAAAGTAATGATCACGAGTTGTCGTACAAATAATAGAACAGCTGCAAAAAAATTGCTTGCATGCATTGACAGTTTGTAACAGACACAGACAGGCAATTAATTTTTTTTCTCTTATTGGAAAGGATCATGTGCAATTTTTTTGCATTGCCTTGTTGACTTATTATTGTTGCAATTTTTAACTCAATCGGTCATAAATCATATGTGGGCTTGCGAAATTTTTTGCTTTGTTGAAAGAGAAAAAAAAACATAGATCACCACCATTCTTGTTTCTAACTTGATCATTAAATTTACTCATCCGAACCTCGCTACAATTTGCCAAAAAAAATTCTTATCACTACATCAATCACCATTTTAATCGTAATTTCTTGCATATTTTTGTTGAAACATAATAATAAGGAGAAAAGTGTCACACGTTTCATAAAATTCTTCTATCTATTTTATCTCTATATGCATCCCATTATCTATATATCTGATATTTTCATGATACCGAATTAAAGTTTTCGTCGATATTTCTGTCGGTGGATATTTTGGACGCAAATTTTATTAAATTATTTTCGTTGCAATAGCTTGCCGGGTCACACCATAACGCATCTTATTTACACACAACCTCATTCATCATTGTATCTATCTATGTATGTAAAAACAATGGATATTGCATTGCATTGCATATATGTATTTACTTATTTACTTAAACAGATCTTTCTAAATACGAGTTTCGAATAAGTTCGAATTTTAATATCATTTTTCTTGCAACATTTATCGTTGACACAACAACAATACCATAGCCCACAGACTATCAAAAGCATAGACACGCGACTTATTTATTAATTAAATGGCATGAAATGAATTATTTCCGGATCTTGCTTTTTTTTTCGTTTCGTTATTTTTTTCATTTAGTATACCCTACATATTATAACTATTAATAATATAAATGAATAAATAAAATATTTATATTTATATTTATCTATATATCTATATATCCACATAGTTCGTGTTTTTTTTTTGCTTATACCTTACTGAGCAATTACTTAATACACAAAGCACATCAACACAATAATATTTGTGTCAAATGAATTTTTAACGATTAAATAGGAATAAAGAATTATTATAATAATTTTATGAAATATATTTTAAGACATACAGAATGTAATTATGATTTTTATTTAATAGATATCGATCAAAAAGCTTAATTTTTGATGAATTTATAGTAAAATATAGTAAATATGATATTTTTACTATGTTTTATTAAAAAGTTTTTCGACTGACATTTATTAAAATGAAATTATTTTCAAAATTGTTTATTAAAAATATTTTTTATCCTGTTTAATTGTTAAAAATTCAAATTTGACACATTTGACATCAAATTTCAATATTATTATATTATCATGCTTTATTTTATCCGGAGCGTAAGCGAAGAATCTGCAACATGTGAAAAATTGATTGTCACGTGGGGTTTCCGGTTGTCACGCCACGTGACTAATTATAAATTTATCATTTCAAACTCACAATGATTCACTATTTCCTAGTATTAATAATAAGAAATGAAATTCTCTCAAGTATATAAATATTAACTAGAAAATAGTAAATTATTATGAGTTCAAAGTGATAAATTTTTTAATTAGTTTATTTATTTATAATTAGTCACGTGTCATGACAACTAGAAATTTCACGTGATAATCAATTTTTCATATATTACAAAATATATATAATCCTTTATTTATATTTCAGACAATAATAATATAAATTCTATTTTAATATTTGAATTTATTAAAACTATTAAATTTATTAAAATTATCAAGAAAAATAATATATTCTTTATATAAAAAATATAATTAAAAAAATAAATTTTACTAATAAAAATATAAAAAAATAAGAGAATAAAAACTATATAAATATATTAGTTAAAATAAGTCAAAATATAAAAGTATAAATTTTACTAATAAAAGAGATAAATAAAAAAGTAAAAATACAAATAAAAAGATAATAATTAATAAAAATTAAATTTTTTAATATTTTAAATTTGAAATTAAAATAAATTATTAATATATAATTAAAAAAAATATATTTATTATTATCAGTAATAGTATCAGATTTTTTTTGTGAAAAAATTTTTAGTGTTTTAATATAATTATCTTGTTAAAAATATTAATTAGTTATTCTAGAATAAAATTTTATAAGAAATATTTTTTTTAGAATATAAAAGATAATTTTATATATAAAATTTTGAGTTATCATTATTTTTTGAAAAATTATTTGTTTTTAAATTTTTTTGACTTTACAATTTAATTTATTATTATTTTTATTACTTATAAATTCTATAATTTTAGTAATTAATTAAATAATTTAATACTATTACTAGTAATAACAAATAAATTTACTTTATAATTAATATAATTTTTAAATTTTAATATTTTTTAAAATTAATTTTTATATTTAAAATTTTATTTATATCTTTTTTTTAAAATATTAATTAATATTTATAACTTTTTTAAATAAATTAATTATTTTATAATTTAATATTAATCTTTTAAGATTTTTTATAATTATATTTTTTATAATTATTTAATTTAAATTTCTTAAGCAATTATAATAAAAAATTTCTTTATAATTATTTAATTTTATTAAAATAAATATAAATTTTATGAAATAAAATTATTAAATTTTGTATAATATATTTTATTAATTACTTTTTATATAATAAATAAATTAATTAAATTATATAATTTTATAAAAATATAAAAGTTAAAAATAAATAAAAATAAAAAATATTCTTTAAAAGAAAATGATACTTTTATTTAATAATTAATTATATTTTAAATAATTAAATAAAGTTATTTATCAAAAATAAAAGTAACTATTTATTAGTTTTAAATAATTTTAAATAAGTTTTTATAATAATATTATTATCTTTTATTATTAAATTATTTTTTATATTTTTATAAAGTATTTTTAGTAATTTTTATCTAATAATTATATTTAAATTATTAATTAAAATTATTTAACAGATATAAAAATATTTATTAATTTTAAATAGTTTTAAATAAGCTTTAATAAAATTATTTTTTTATTTTTATAAGAAATTTATAAAGTAATTTTCATAATTTCTAATAATTATATTTTAAGTAATTAATTAAAATTACTTATCAAATATAAAAATAATTATTTATTAATTTAAATAAATTTTAATAAATATATTATTATTTTTATTAT